TGCTGCTTTTTTCTTCAGTGTAAACGTGTAGTCCATTAATAGACCTGTAATTGTTTTATAATTTTAAAATTATTTTAGTGTATAGTAAAAAATAGTCCAAGTCCTCTGTATTCAAAGCAAAAGGAGCAATACCTTGCTGTTAAAACATCAAAGTAATGAATTTCAATGTTGGTAGAACTGTTTTTTCTGGTTTTGGTGCTGAATTCATTAGTGCTGTGTGTGTATAAAGGTGATTTAAAAAAATGGAGCAAGAAAGGGCTAGCACTGAGATTCAAATCTTGATTTTGCTTTAGGTTTCATGTATTAATGTTTCGTATTCTTAATATTTTGTTAATACTCCTTGATCCCTTGGTTTTTCCATTAATATGTACTGGATAATACTAAATATATGTCCCAGTAGCTGTGAAGTATTTGTAAGAGCAAATCACCCTTGAAATACTGAGGTGGAAAATTCTGTTTTAATGGTTTTCTTCCTTCTGGACTGTTTTTTTAACAAAGAGAATTTGGCACACTCTGTTGTCTTCCATATATGGTGGAAAGTGATACATTAAGTCTGCCACTGGTGTTTTAGCAGTACTGAGGAGAGGGGCTGAGTTATTTACAGTTGTGAGGAATGATCTCAATCGTGTAGTTGAAATGGCCGTTCAAAATGCTTTCAGTCCTTGGCATGCCTCTTAGTAGTGTCAAGAAAGGGGGATGCTTCTACCAGTACCAGTAGTTAAGTCGAATGTGTACTTCTTGTGGGTGAAGCTAGGATGAGGACCAAGATCCAATTTTTAGCATTTACATTCCATTGATTTGTTTATGTTGTTGTTACTTCGGTTGCAGATTAGGTGTAGATGTTATTTTCCCACTTGGAGGTTGGAAGATGCACTCCATTGAGAAGGACTGACTTGTGCAGAGGGAGTAGGACTTGGTGCAGTGGGGAACATGAAGATAGGAACCTATGTTCTCTAACAGACTTTTGTCTTCTCCACCATCTAGAAGTTCCAGTGGAAGGAAAACCTTGAAGGCTGCAAGACAAGTCCAAGATGTGCAGTTCAGTTGCTCCCAGGCTGTGGTTCTTAACAGACCGTCGCATCAGAGAAGATTACCCCCAGCAGGAGATCCTGAGAGCACTGAAGGCCAAGTGCTGTGAAGAGGAGCTCGATTTCCGGGCCCTGGTGATGGATGAAGTGGTGCTGACCATTGAGGATGGAAATCTTGGTGAGAATGAGCTCAGGCTGGGAATGTGCTGAGGAGGGGGTACTTGGAAAAATATTGTGAAATGGAGCACCCATGCTCTTTAATAATGAATTCCATGTGTGCCAGACTACCATATATCATCTAAACCATGTAGATGTAAATGATACTGTGTTCTTTAGCATTTATTGTGACAATCAAATATAATTGTTAATTTTGCTAATTTGCATAAGAACTGTTTTTACCTTCACTCTGTAGAACAGAAAGGAGGGTTGCTTTAGTTTGTTGGTTCCAGGATAAGGACTATAGGACCTCTGAACTGAGAAGAAATTTTGAAGTTTCATTTTCGCATAGGTACTTGGAAGTTTATGGGTCACATTTAAGTGTTTCAGACTTTTTTCTTCTGTTTGTGTTCTAACTCCAAGATAGCAAACACATATGAAATAAACTAAGAATAATTTTCAATGGACAGAACAAATTATCATGGAGCTAGAGGTAATAATGTGATGTAACCAAAGCATGCTGCGGTACAGATGTGTAGTTACATATATGCCAAAAAAAGAATGGGGCTGAACAAAAAAGTATGTACATTAAAATAATTTGAACTATTACTACCGCTTACAATGTTTAAAACTAAATAGTAAGATTTCTGTTTTGTTTTCCTGGTTTTTTTTTTCTGTTATGATGAGAAAGGGACAGTAAGATATTAAGGTGTGTTAGAAATTTTAAGTAAAATGATTCTGTAAGCAGTAAGCTTATGTTATAGGGAGAATATTAATCCCACCAATGCCAAGCTGTGCAACACTTACTCTTTTTTTTTTTTTTTCCAACTTTTTAATTTGGGTTTCCTGAAGGAAGGTGACTGTAGTGTTGTGTTGTACCTTTACCGCTTCCATTTCTCTTCCCCATATATCAGTCAAAAAAAAAAATCACTGGAGATCCAGGGAAGAATTAAATTTCTGAAAGTTGTCTTAGAAAAATTCTATGTAGGAAGAAAATACAAAAGTACCTTCAGCCCTGAAGAAGAGGCTTCCATGTGATCTTATACTTTGTTCCTTCTTGAGGAGTCTATATAGGACAGAAAACACTGATGCTAGGGAAGAACTTTAGTTACAATTTATATCATATTGTAGCATGAATTAATCACACATCAAAGAAATGCATGGGAAAACAGGATTTTTGATTCTGGTGTTACTAAACTTATTTACGTGTTTTGTCTTTTATTGTGAAGTATCTATGATTTTTATCAGAGACTTGAAATTCTGACGGTTGTCTTCATATCAAGGCAACTTTCTGTCAGAAAGTCTGAACATCTTACTGCTCTGAGCATGCTGTCCCTGGGACAGTGTGTTCTACAAAGGCAGCCATCCTGGACTGTAGCTACAGCCTGTAAGATAGATAATTGGTCCTTCAGCATTTCAGTATTGCTTTTATTTCTTGGTGATATTTTTTTTATTTCCCATCTTCTGCCTGTTTTTGGGGAATTAAATATGGTAAGCATGAATTGTGAGCCTTTCTGCTCTCTTCCATTTAATATCTCGTAATGCTGCATCTATTGCAAGAAGAAAAGATAACTTATGGAAGTTGGAAAACTAATGCCGAGGAATGAGTAGTACAAGAATGAGAAAAATTAAGGGCTAGAAAGAGAATGCAAAAAAAGGAAATTGTTTTAATACAAAGTGTTCATTCAGAACTGTGTAAATGACTGGCTCTTTGAAAAGGAGTGAGATAAAAAATCTGAAAGATTGAGGATAGTAATTTCCTTCTAAATAATCTGGGACTGGCTAATTGTGATTTTGGGAGGTGATGGGAGAGTTCTCATGTCTGAAGCAGTTCTTATTTCCGGAGAGAGATGAAAAAACTTCCCTATTAGTTTTCCAGTTTTCTTTTTCCTAGTGCTTGCCCACATGTTTTGATACAGATTTCTGGTGGAGGACACAAGCAAAGTTTTGTGTTGCATTTTCCTTGTTCAAGTCCTCAGTTATCTTGGGAAAGGGTGTCCTGGAATAAAATCCAGGAGGTAATACATTCTGTACCCTTTCAGTTATCTACTGTTGTGTGAGGTGTCCAGATTGAGTAATATTTTGTACAATATAGAGGAGTTAATGAAGAGAATTTATTTTCAGTAGATAATAACCTGCTTTTGCTTCCAGTTCTACTGTTATTTGTGTTGAAAGCTTAGCAATACAGGGCTCAAACTCCTGACGGTAATACATGGTATTGGAGGAAGTAATAGGTTTTCATATACTTGCACTGTGATTAGAGCTATTTTTTGTACTTTAAAACCTAGGTAATTTCTTAAGTAAATTGATAAAAGAATGTTAACTTTACAAAGTCAAGTTGGAAATTACAGGATGCTATTTAAAACTTTAAAAATGTGCTATTTCCGTAGATGATATAATCAGTAATAATTCTTTGTGGACTTGCTGACTGTCAGGAACATGACTGAAGACTTCAGAGACCAAAAAGTCATCATAGCACATTAAAAAGCTTGAAATTATTTACCTCAGAGGTAGAGTGGAGAAGACACTTCTAAACTTAAGAAAATTGAGCAGAACAGTGGGATAAGTCCTAAAATTGAAAATTGACCGTTCCACCTATTATGTGGTATGTACCTTGTCAGTAGAGCACATTGATGTAAATAGCACTGAAGCCCAGAGCCAAAGACAGGTGTGGAAAACTTCTGCGATGCTTAGACTCATACAAAGTCTGTGTATGTCGGAGAATGGTAAGTTCTGCCGTGTACTTGGCGTGGCCAGAGGGAGAGGTAGGGTTGTTTCTGTCAGTGGCCACAGCAGTACCTCGGGGCATTACTCTGCTGTACTGCAGTGTTGGATGGGAAGTGTGGCTGGACTCCCAGGCAAGCCAGTGGTGTAGCCTCAGCAGTCCCTGCTGGTTCCTTTTCTTCCACAGCTGAAACTTGGGATGGCCCAGCATCACAAGCAGCACCAACAGCCCCAGTGTTACTGGCCACACGGTGAACCTGCCTGCAGCTCAAGATCCACGTTAGGTGCCTCAACACACCATGAGTCCAAAAATTACTGTCATGGCAAGTTAAGAGACATAGAATTAAAATTTTGTCTTTTAAGTTTAGAAGGAAACTCTTAAACTGATTTATACTTAAACTGTTTTGGAAATAGTTTACGTTCAACAAATAGGTTTTGAAAATAGCTGTGGTTTATGCTTTAAGTAACTGCCTGCATTCCTGTTTCCTTTGCCCACTGGCAGTATTATTCTGTAGATCTCCAAGTTAAAATAGGTGGAAAAGTCTAGCTGCATAAAAGAATGAATATTTTTCCGCTGCTTTGTTGGGCTGAACCTGCTGAAATGGTTACTGAATTGGACATGGACAACACTGGGACACAGAAATGGACAGGAGTGTATGTATAGAAAAAAAGTGGAGGGTGATACTACAGCTGTTCTGATTTAAACTGCCTCGAACTATGGTGTGGCTGTAGCCTACATTTCTTAAAAACTAAATTCTTGAAGCTCAACCAGTCTAATACGATCTACTTTAGAGTAGAGCAGCCGTGTTCTTTCCCAGCCTTGCTGGTGCTGCTTGCCTTATATAAGGACTTCATGTTTCCCCTGGCTTGCTTTCATGTTGTAGTTAAGCTAATCTAATTCAAAGAAAGGTTGACCAAATTTTCTGCTTGTTTGCAGGATCTGGCATTTGTGTGAATTGAGTTGGCTGATCCAATGGAACACTAAGTCCGCCCAAATAATTAAAAATTTTCTGTTGGAATAGCTTGCTGCATCAACCCATTTTGTGGTTGCACAGTTGCTAACTTTAGTACACTGAGGACAGGGGAAAATGGGGTTGCTTTTTAGGGAATGGCTCATATTTCTATTGATTTAGTTGTAGCATCAAGGCATACTTTAAAACAGAGGAATTTTTTTATGTTTGGGATGCTTGATAGTGTCAGCTTTAGGATTTTTTTGTGTCTCTTTGAAGCATCTGGTATTTACTGCTGTAAGGAAAGCACAGGATTGCAAAATTAAATGGCTAGTTGCCTAATCTAGTTTGGCAGTTCGTGTATGTGAAATACATAGCAGGTAATTTAACAAAACTCTGCATGATGTTGTCAGACACGCATCTGAAGTCTTAACAGTGAGTCCTGTTAAAATGTGTGATTTTAAACTTTGTCTAAGTTTGCCAGCACAGTCATACAGCAGGCTTGGGGAATGTGAAACTAGACAAATAAAAGCTTGTGAGCAGGAGTGTGCGGGGTGGGATGGGGGCAGAGGTGAAGGAAGCCTGTAGGGAGTAAGCGTGCTATGGGACCTAGTGGACAAGAGACAAAAGGTAATTCATTGGTTGTCTCCTTCCTCTGGTTAGAGGTCTCTTTTTCTTTTCATCTGTGTCTGGGACTTAACAATAACCTTCCCCACAGACTGCACCTTCCTGTAGGGA